AAAAAAATATATATATATATAAATATATATATATATAAATATATATAAAACACATATATGTATATATATGTGTGTGTGTGTATATACAATATGTTGTATTGAGTCATGAGCTGTATGAGCAGATAGTTGCTCCAAAATGTTTGAAAATGTCAAATCTGACAAATGAGCATATTTGTCATCATAGGTTCTAAAGTGCTCCTCTGTGATGTTCACCGAGAGAAGGCATGGATGGAGTGGATAAGAAAAAAGGACAATGGTGTGACATCTCAGGAAGAGGTTCTTAAACTTCTACAGGCCATTGCAGATTCTCAGACGAATGAGGAGTTTGAGAACAACACTGTTACCCTTCAACAACATCCAGACTGGCAATCAAATGAGAAGCTGAGAAGGTTCGTCAGCACATGGCTTGTTCATGCAGAGGTGAGTATGTTATTCTGTTGTCAGTTCTGTTATTATCAGTAATGTTGAGAGTGTGAAAACTAATATGACGCAAGTAATGCTCTATTATTTCCTGAACTAGAGGTGGGTGAGCGTGTTCGGAAATGAGAACCTGAATGTGGCTGCCTTCAAAAATAAAGGTGTTGAAAGACAAAAGGATGTCCTGAAGCATTCACACCTAAAGGGACACAGAAACTGCAGTCTCAGCGAAACACTAGTAGTCATTATGAGCAACTTCCTGCCGAGATCGTATCAAAAGTAAAAACTGGACTAAACCTAAACCTAAAAAAATGTATAAAATAATACATTTTGCTAAATGAAAGTGAAGCCTTTTTTTGGATAGTGACATATAAAAAAAAAATCATCAAAAATGTGAGAAAATATTTTTTATTAGAAATCATTAGTAAATATATTAATGATTTAAATTATTATTATTTTTAAGTATTAAATCATCACAGTAATAAATTTTAAAAATACAGTAATGATTTAATGCAATATACATGCATGCATAGAGAATGATATATATAATATATATATATATACAGGTGCATCTCAATAAATTAGAATGTCGTGGAAAAGTTCATTTATTTCAGTAATTCAACTCAAATTGTGAAACTCGTGTATTAAATAAATTCAATGCACACAGACTGAAGTAGTTTAAGTCTTTGGTTCTTTTAATTGTGACGATTTTGGTTCACATTTAACAAAAACCCACCAATTCACTATCTCAACAAATTAGAATACTTCATAAGACCAATAAGTGTGTGGGTGTGTGTGTGTGTGTGTGTGTGTGTGTGTGTGTGTGTGTGAATGTGTGTGTGTACTGTAGGCTTCATTTTATTTATACTAATATATGTAAGATACAATTTTTGTTTTGTGAACAATATTGTTACTTATATATAGAGCGAGTGCTAATCAAATATAATATATTAATATATATAATAATATATTAGTATAATGAATAGCAATGTATAATATTATACATAGTATAATATTGGTATAATGTGTATATATATACTATATTAGCTATAAAGGAATATTAGCAATATATTAGCTATAATGTGACCTGGACATGTTTTTGTGAGATTAATTTAATGCTTAGGAAACTGAACATGAACTGGACTAACTAAACTAACTTTTTTTTCCATATAAAGGTATGTTGAATTGAATATCAAATGCTCAGGTGGCTCACACAAATACAGCACAAATGTGCCTTGTTATGCAGGATACAGACCAAGAATTATGGCTCAACACATTATGAAAAGGCGCCAAGAGTCGCTACTCTTCAATGCGAGTGACATAACATCTGCTGGAGAGAACGTCTTCAATGTTCAGAGTCAAACGTCACAGGAAAAACATCAGGTGAACTTTGGAAAAGACGATGAGATGCCTTCATGTACAGTGGGTACGGAAAGTATTCAGACCCCCTTCAATTTTTCACTCTTTGTTATATTGCAGCCATTTGCTAAAATCATTTAAGTTAATTTTTTTTCCTCATTAATGTACAAATATAACAAAGAGTGAAAAATTGAAGGGGGTCTGAATACTTTCCGTACCCACTGTACATGCATGGACTGGCGGAGACATCTTCTCCCGTGCCAGCATTTCTGTGCTGTTTTTACCTTAGTTCCTGGCTGGAGTTGGGAGAATCTGAGCGCTGCGTACAGGAAGAACCCTCTCTTCACGTTTGACGAGGTTTGCCTGGGACAATCTGCTACACTTCCTGCTGATCTTCAAGGCGAAGAGGCTCCGAAGAAGAATCAGGAGAATGATATTAGTCCAGAGAGATGTCCGTCTCCTGCTGCTCCCTCAGAGCCCATCCTGACCAATCCTACAGCAGAAAAAAGGGAGAAGTGCTGTAGCTTGTTGAAGGAGATATCAGAATTGACATGCCACATACAGGATGGGACCTTTCTAGATTCAGTAACTGATCGCTTAATGGATCTGTTAGAAGATATAAGGCGACACACTCCCCATGATGACATCCTTGACCTTTCCTACGCCCCACCATCCAAGAAAATGTGTTCAGCATTGGCAGAGCACCCAGAATCAATTAACGCAATCCCCCAAAGATGCTCTGTATCTGGAAAAGTTCATGAGGGCAAACCCTACAAGTTACTTTTGAACTACATTTTAAAGAATGCATTGTAGTCCTTTTCATTACATCAAAATGTCACATTTCCTGGAAATTTTATCTAAAGCAACTTACATTGCATTCAAGATGCACGCACTACTATTTAAAGGGATAGTTCACTAAAAAAATGTAAATTATCTCATTAATTACTCACCCTCATGTCGTTTCAAACCCATAAGACCTTCGTTCATCTTCGGAACACAAATTAAGATATTTTTGATGGAATCTGAACAGCAACTGAAATGTTCCCAAGTCCAGAAACGTTGCAAGGAGATCTGTAAAATAATCCATGTGACATCAGGGGTTCAACCGTAATTTTACAAAGCTACGAGAATACTTTTTGTGCGCAAAAGAAAAAAAAAACGACTTTATTCAACAATTCGTCTCCTCCGCGTCACCCTGTAGCGCATACGTTGTTTTACATCCAGTGGATATTCTCCAAAATGGCGCTACAGGGTGATGCGGAGGAGACGAATTGTTGAACAAAGTCTTTTTTTTTTCTTTTGCGCACAAAAAGTATTCTCGTAGCTTCGTATAATTGCGGATGAACCCCTGATGTCACATGGATTATTTTACAGATCTCCTTGCTATGTGCTGCGACTTGGGAACATTAATCGCAGGGTATGATATGACAGCTGTCATAGCCTACCCTGCTCACTCAGTAAGTCTGTTTGTTTAATTAATTAATGAATTAATTAATTCGTTTCAAAATAAATATTTTAAACACTAAAACAAAAAGGAAAGAATAATAAATTGCCTTGGGTATATATAGGCCTATAATGTTCATGCAAGAACTGTCATTTTGACTGACAACCGGAAAACAACAGATATTAAATAGCCTACTGTTAGAGTTTTATAATGTAGTCTTTTGTTTTATTCAAATTGATTTTAATTGATATCTCAAAAGGATATGCACACGTTAGCAGTCATATTTAAAGCAGTTTAAATTAATATTGAGTACTGACTGATGTTCACTTGGATTTTTTCCAAATGTTTTCCTTGGATTTTTGGAAATAACTTAATACTCTGTCATTTATAGTCGTATGGTAAAATGTATATTCTTATTTGTGTAACGTTACGTTCAAAATAACTACAAAGTGCCTTTGAAAAATAAAGAGAACAACAGAATGCGCTGCTTTAGCGCGTCTTGGTCTCCTTGAGCATCCTTCTGGCGCATGCCACAAACATGAACCACAGCGAATACTTAACTTTTAAAGCTTCATTTAGATAATTTTTTGACGTTAAATGCATCATATAAATCACTTTGGAATAAATCACAGTAGGCCTATGTATCATGATAAAAAAATGCGACTTTACAGTCTGGAAATACTTTAGGCTATAGCAAAATATTTCGCGGAACCCCTATCACATTAAGAACCGCTGGTCTACACAGAAGAATGAGTTGCCCCGGTACGAGTTGTGTCGAGCTATTCATTAGTCTGTTTGATGAGAAAAATATGAAATGTAGTTGCAATAAAATGGGTAATTAATCCATACAACTGCAGCAGTGGAGGACTATTATTCTGCTGCGTGATACTGCAGAAGAACTGATGACTGCACGGTTTGATCTTCGGCTGACCAATCAGCAGAAAGGGGCGTTTAATTCCCGCCCACATGTAGAAATCAAATATTCAAGCTGTTTATTAATTTTTCTACCGCTGAGCGAAAAACTAAAATTTAATTTGAATTCTCATTTTTCGTTTTTTTGGAAAAAACGAAAAAGGAACCATTTTCTAATTTTTCTACTCTCAATATTAAATCAAAAAAACGATTGATCGAATGATACACGGATTTGTTACTTCCCTCAATCGTGATTTGTGGTTGTAAATATTTTGGTCATTAAAATGCTTTAATTGTAGTATTTTGAGTTGTAATTTCTCCTGTTCTACAGATATAATATGATTGATGTAGCCTAACAAGCCCTCAAGCAGTGCGGAATCATTATCCTTTGCTTTCCTGACAAAAGTAGCTTGCTGGTCATTAAAATAGGAGTTTTACACAAGTGATTTTGCCTTTATCATAGTTTTTGTTCTTGTTTGCAAGTACTTTTTCAGTATAGACGATAATCACTAATGTGAAGATTCTCTCTATTGTACAATGTTTTTGAAAGAATTCTCTTATGCTCACCAAGTCTGTATTTATTTGATCAAAAATACACTAATAATATAAAAAAAAAGTAAAATGTAGTTGCATTTCCTCAGTACAGATACTTTCATAACTTAGAGTTAACTTTAATGCATTGTTTGTAGTTATATTTGATTTATGCATTTTATTTCATATTACATGTACAGATAAAGTTGGTTTGCCAAATTCTAATAATAGGTAACACTGCAACATTTAGTCTTTACAAGAATTGACAACAAAGTTAGAGTAGTGACTATTGGAGTTTTATCAGAACATGAGTCACAATTCCCCGGGATCGTAACATCTGTGGTTTGTGGGTGGAAAGAAACGCGCACTTGTGGTTAATGCAGAGGTCTATAAAAAAGAGCTTCTCGGGCTTCTGAAAATCACCGAGGTTCAGATTCTGAGAGCTTCGTCTTCAGGCTGGTTAGACATCATCTGCTAAGATGCTCCGCAACATCTTTCTTGTCAGCTTGCTCGTATATGCAGGTAAAATAATCACTAATTCAGTTCTAAAATGACTTGTATTCTGTGTTAGGATATAGTTATATGTGTTATGCTTGAATGATTTGTTTTAACATTAATCATTGTCCATTTATTTGTAGTCTGTGCAGTTCATTGGGAGATTCGTGAGGTGGACTCTGCTGAGGACCAAGATGAAGAGATCTTTGTAATGACAATAGTTTGTTAAATAAGTGCATGCTTTAAATTAATGACCATATGCAAAGGATTGATGCACATATAACCTCATGATGGATCTGCTCAACAAGGCTCAGTGCTTTAATTTTTTGTAATAATTGTAGCATGTGTGGAATTTGTGAGATGTAATTTCTCCTGTTCTTCAGATATGGTTGATGTAGCCTAACAAACCCTTAAGCGGTGCCAGATCATTGACTTGTGCGGCCCTGACATATTTGTTTCATATTGTGATGTTTTTCAGGCTGATGATGAAATGATGAAACAGTCATCTGTTGAGTGCTCAATATGTAAATCCATTATGAAGAGGGTAAAAATGACAATCTCGTCTAACGCAACGCCGGTGGGTGTCACGATTAATGTCATATCATTGAACTGACCGTGCATCTTTGACTAAATCCATCATTTTCCTCAGGATGAAATCAAAACCAAGCTGAACAACACCTGTGAGAAAATCAGGTTGCTGAGAGTTCAGTGCAAGCACTTTGTTCAGAAGTATCTGCACGATCTGATTGATGAGCTGATGACCGATGATGGGCCAAAAACCATCTGTACTAAAATTCATATCTGCGAGTAGGTACGCAGGAATACCTGCTCCAGAAGTTTATAATCATGTCCTTTTTTCCACAGTAATATGATGATGCATTATTTAAATAAGGAGATTTTAAATAACTTTTTTTTGTTTGTTCCAGGCCAGAATCACCCATAAAGGAGATCATTTTTGTACATGATCAAGCTAATGACAATTTCTGAATGAGAATTAATGATTACTGTGAAAGCATTACAGTGAGAACATAATAAAATATATGAATAAAACCATCAATTATCTGTGTTTTATTTTATTTTTTTCCTAATTAAGTTAAATCAAACGTGTTTTAAAAAATAAAATAAAACAAACAGCAGCTCAACAGCAAAAATAAAATAAATAAATAATAATAATATTTTTTACCAGATCCATTTCATACTAGTCAATTGCTTTGTCAGTGAGGTCTAAAAAAAAAACCTAATTTTCTTTCTAACAAGCTCATGTTTCCAACAATAAGTGCAGATTCTTTTAGATAAGAGCATTGCAATGAAATTAATCAAATTAAACTTAAACGTATATGTTTACATCATGAGTCAACTATGTTGCTTTCAGAATAAATATTATTCAGTCCACTGTGATTATGTCAGATGTGCATGAGAGATTTGGACGTAGTTGCAGATAAATGAAGGGTTCTTGTGGCTAACCAGGAGTTATCTGCTTTATCTAGGACAGAGGTCCTAGCACGGTCATATTATGGAAAGCCGTTTTAACATTTAATCTATAAAAATTAGATACTAGTGCGGTTTATAGATTAAATGTTAAAACGGCTTGCCATAGTCATATACTATCACACCATTTAAAGTTTTAGTGATGCCACTTCTTGTATGCCTTTGCTGA